GTTCGCTCACTGGCTGAGCGTGGTGCTGACAACACCAAGTCAAGGGTTAAGATCCCTTACCAGTCATTCCTTAAAAAAAAAAAAAAATCAAATCATAACCGGATTGCTCTTTTTAGTGTAATTAATATAGCAAAGGAAGATTTTCATAGAAAATATCTCACGTAAAGTTTTTGGCAGTCTATTAAGATTGTTTCACTTTAACTAACAAATAGCTAAGTAAGAAGACCTCAGGAGAAAAAAATTATAAATAGATTTAAATTGTGAGTTGTAATAATTCTAAAACTGACCTCGCAATAAAATAATTTCTCAAAATTTTAAGGTAGTCAATTGGCATTAAAAGCAAAAGCACAACTGTTATGCCTCTAGGACAGAGTTTTCCAACCTTCACCAGATAATTCTTTGTGGTGGGGGGCTGCTCTGTGCATTGTAGGAGGTTTAGCAGCATCCCTGGCCTCTACTTTCCAGATACCAATAGCATCGCCCCCTCCTTCAGTTGTGACAACCAAAAATGTCTCCAGACATTGTCAAATGTCCCCTGGGGGGCAGAATCGACCCCAGTTGAGAACCACCATTCCCACAGAAATACTGCATGATGAGAAGAAGCTTGAGACATCTAGGATAGATGACAATCAAATGACACAGCACACTGAGGGACAAAATAAGATTTGTGCACAAGAAGGGCAAACAGAAAGAAAGTTCCCTGGGCATGGTGTTCTGTGCTCCCTACCTGATTCTGCCAGCATTTTCACAGCTTTGGCCTTGGCCAGTTCCAGGGCTGTCACCCAGCGCTGCCGCTCCACTTCTGAGCTAGCCTTCAGATGGTAGGTCTGAGCACCCCCATTGGAAATGATGAAGTTGCAGGAGTCCTCCACAGTAATATTGGCTGTGGCGAGGTTGATGGTACCACGGCAGGTATGTCTCATTTCTGCCTTTGACCTGCAATAACAAGACAAAGACAAGCTAGGTAAAAAGCTGATGCATGACTTATCTTTTATCACAGCACATTTCTTTTCATAACTCTGAGCCCTTTGAAAATACAGTTGTTTTAGGAATCAGCAAGTTCTAGTCACATTTCCCTCAAATGGCTCCCTAAAATTCAAGAAACAATCAGTAGGGATTTTCTTTCAGAGCCTATCAACGTTGTTTCTGAGTCAGATTTTATTGCCCTGCTGTTCCTCTCACCATTAGCTTTTTAAAAATAGGCTTTACGGGGTATAACTACATGTAATATTAATTCAGCTATTTTAGGTGTACAGTTGAATGACTTTTGACAAATGTACACAGCTGTGTAACCACTACCACCATCAAGATATAGAACATTTCTATCACCTCAAAAAGTTCCCTCATGCCCTTTTGCAGTCAGGAATTACTTTTTACATAGCATTATAATTATAAAGTGCTTTATAACCTCATGCAACAGAATTTCTTACAAGAATCTCATTCCCTAAGAATAGCTCCATTGCATATATACTGAACCATCCCCTTCCATTGTAACTCAGCCCAAATGAGAATTGTCACACCATGGTTAGAATTATATTGCAGAAGTCTAAAAAGGCATGCTTAAATGTTTCGATTACTAAATACTGGCTATAGCTCAAATGATATGAAGTAAGAATAACTAGCTTTCTAGGGGAGTAAAGGAAGAATAATTATTTTAAAAATTACCAGGTGTTTTAATCTTTCTGGAATATATTCTTTCCTAAGGTCCAATGATCTCTATTGGTGGGAACTCCTAAGCCATCCTATTAATAGCTAGGAAAGATTCAGCAGATCTACTCTCAGAGGACTGGGTGTAAAAATTTTCCCAATCTCTACTGACTGACAGTTCTATTAATAGGCTAACTTCTGAACTTTACAGCACTACTCGGTGACAACAAGCTATAAGACACTTCACATAAAATATCAAGCTTCATGCAAAACATCAACCTTTTAGCACGACTGAGTGTACAGTAAAAACTGCTAATTTCCCCACCACCCAATGTTATGCCTAGGGACCTGCATGTTGAGACTGCAGTTTTCCCTGTCCAACTTAGAACATAAAGAGGTCAAAGTCCTCTGCCTGATGCTGCAATACAAAGCACAGCCATTTCCCTTTCAGTGGAGCCAAGCGACCAAACACACCTGGCACATCCAGAATTCTTGCATGCCGGAAATGGCCCACACCCCATCTCCAGAAACTAAGATTTGGTATGTTTGAGAAAGTTTGTTTACTGTGCTTAGAAGGACAGATTTGCTGTTGTTAATATGTCACATGAAACTGTTTTTTCTTCTTCAAATGCACAAATGAGCAATATGGGATGGCCAGGGGGTTCAATGGACTGGGCCATTTTCCATCTCCTGCACCTGCCACATCGAAACATGAATCCCTGCTTTTTCTATTCTTACCTCCCCGCCCCCAAGCTTTAGTTACATTATGAATAATGCAGGCTGAATTACAGACACAGCTGACAAGCCATCTCACCCCTACTTTCTACTCCACTGGTGCTGCTTGAACCTTTTTCCACATTCCTCCTTATCTGCACTTCTCACAAACCACTTCCTAGGAACCTCTTCTGCCTAAGTCATCTTCGTGAGCTACAGAAGATTCACAAATCACATAAAGTCTGTAGCAGTTTAAAAAATACAAAGGAACCCTGGAAGGCAGCCTTGATCTCCGAGCTCTTGGGTTTGGGCAGATACACCTATGGTTATAAGTGATTAACAAATAGGACTGGCCTGTGGCTCACTTGGGAGAGTGTGGTGCTGATAACACCAAGACCATGGGTTCAGATCCCTATATAGGGATGGCCGGTTAGCTCACTTGGGAGAGCATGGTGCTGACAACACCAAGTCAGGGGTTAAGATCCCCTTACTGGTCACCTTTTAAAAAAATAAATAAATGATTAGCAAAGAAGCTGGAAAGACATGATTCTCAGGGTGTAAGATAAGTTCCTCGGGCGCTACAGTATTAAGTGGTATTTTCTGGCTAGAAACTTCTTCCCTGAAAAGGCTAGCTGAACTAGTAATTCAATCTCTAGAAACTAGTCAAGAAAACTAATACTATGGCCTGTCGGGATGTTTCTGGGAGAGCTGGGATTCTAAATAAAGTTTTAAATAATGGGACATCTATGTAACTGGCTATGTAAGGAAACACGGGATAGGTAAAAAGAAGGAAGCACCTTCTAATGCCTATTAGGAAAGTTCATCAGAGGATAGGCCTAGAAAGAACATGATCTCAGTTAAAAAGAAAAAATAAAAATAATATTTTGGAAACAGTATTTATAAGAGATTGCAGGTTTTTGAAGCATGAAAGGCAGAAGGAATGACAACTTGACTAAATAATTCTAGGAGGGAGATGGGGACCATAAGAACCCCACTGGGAAGAATTAACTGCAATATAGTTGGTAGAAAGTACTTCAACATGATTTTGAGGGTAGTGAGTAGATTTGATAACCCTGGATCCTGTTGCTTGTTTGGTTTGTGGGTGGGACCATCTTACTCGGCAAGGCCAGGCCTATGGCACATTTCCCAACATGTGGTTTGGTATGTTTTGGAAGGAGTTTTATCTGTAGTCAGACACGTACCACTAGCTCTTGTGAGACAGAGGATAAAATGGGTTCCAAATACTTGAAGACATAGCAACATATAAGTTGTCAATGTCCAAGATCACTACTGATCAAAACTGGTACTGATCAAAGAAACAACTGGCCTGGAAAGTAGATCCAAGAAAAACTTGGATGAGGACAAATGACCACACTTTAAAGCCCTCAGTTGATACACAATTTTTGAAAATGGGGAATCAGTGCCAACAGTGACTAATAAGCCAAGTCAGGATATAAATCAATTGAACATTGGAATGATAGTCAATGATAGCAGGAAAACATGAACTTGAGTAGGGGAAAAAACTCTGGGTCAAACCAGAATTTTAGATTTGTGACCTAACTTTAAACTGACAGTCCTGATGAGTAGTAGTTAGAAAAGGTTATAATTAAAATCAATTCTGAATACAATAATGCAAACGATATACACAACTGTTCACAATTAATGTTGCTTAAGAAGTAAGGATGAGCTATCTAAGGCATTTTCCACTGTTGAGCAGGTAACAATGTGTTCCTACCAACAACTTCCAACTCCCACCTTCAATTTCTCCTTAAAATTCTCCAAGAGCCAATACAGTGGAGTTGTATTGTATATCACCCTAACTCTCCTGGTAGCAGAGTGACTACCGTGAAGGAAAAGAATTATGCCGTGAGCTGCTCTTCAACGTCAGTATTTTGGGTCCCCAAAAGGATAGTCTTTAGAAAATGATTTCAATTAGAAATGTCATTATATTAAGCAAAATCTCCCTCTAAGGAGATTTTTTTACTTTTCGTATTAAATATACATTGTAACCATGAAACTTACTTCCTATAGATAATTATCTCTGTATCTAATTGATTCACGTAACACTAACCTGGGTTTTAGATTATGTTAATGTGAACAGGAGTAATTTCAAATCCTGACTTCTCCAAGGCCTTGGGAAAGTTGCCCATGCTAAGTCTCAGTTTTCTCATCAGTAAAATGGGAATATCTCCTAACTCTCAGGGTTGTTGTTGGGAGCCAATAAAATACTGTATGGAAAACACCAGGGCCACACTGTCCAGCCCTCAGGAAATGTTTACGTCCTGTCCCCAAATCACTTAACTCCTCTATCTATAGTAACGGGAGTAGCCCAAAGGCATGTTATATTACCAGGCTGTTGAGTCACCGTAAGTTTATATTAAACATTCCAAAATAAACACGGTTGAACAGAAGCAATCATACCAAAGACATGGATTCTTCACTTACTAAAACTTAAATCTAACGAAAAAGATAACAGAAATGTTGAATAAAACAACTATTCCCATGTGAGGAGGTGGGGCAAGCAAAAATAAAAGCAGCACTGGAGTGCACATCTCCATTATGGGCTGTCCAGGAGAAAGCATAAGCAAGTCTTGTAGAGATAAGGAAGACAGGGGACATAACACAGCAGCTACCCTGTGTATGGTGTCCCTTCTGCCTGAATGTGTTGGGAGGAAGGGAGGTTACATCAAGAGCTACGGATAACCTTGGAGACTGGGCTCAGACAGCTAAGACTTGGGACTCCCACAGTAAGTTCCTTGGGAGCAATGCCTTGGCTTTGCTCTCCTGTATGTGCCCGTTAGCACAACAGTGCTTTGCTTGCAGAATTAATAATTGCACCCATGTGCTCGTGGAAATACAATGGAAGAACAGATGCTCTCCAAACAACTGCTGACTGGAAAGGCCAGGGAACAAGCGGAAGATATGGCACCAAGGGTGGGTAACCCGGGAGGTGGGATGGGAGGGGGATTCTAAGTCCTGGGGTTTTCGCTTTCGTGATGGTAAGCTGACAATCCGCGCAGGTGACGAAAAGGGGCCTGGGGCGACCTTGGCTGCGGAGCTGTCTGGCGAGGGTGACGGTGCCGGGACTGCTGGCTGCGGTGGAGGAGGCAAGGTGAGTGACTGCGCCCCGGAAGCAGTTACCTGTAGTAGCTAAGGAGCCCGTTGCTCAGCACGAACCACCGCCGCTGGTAGCCTTTGATATAATTGGTCCATTTGAAGAGCCAGCCCTCTCGAGCCGAGCCCGAACCTCCAGCGCCCGAGCCCCCCGCAGGCGGCGCAGGGA